TATTTGAAACAGCAATAAAATCCAGTCAGCAGGAAATATTAGACTGGCACAATTATTCCTTTGAATTTGAGAGCAAGGTAGATGCTCTTACAGCTGATAGTAGAATTAAGGATAAGACAGCAAGATCAATGATTTACAAGAAAATGAAACCATTTCTCCCTACTAAAATCACACAAGCTAACTTGCGCAAGAAAACTCATAGGGCTAGAAAACATCTCATGTTATTTGGAAAAAATGGGGTTGGAATAGATAAAATTAAGCTGGTCTCATATAGCGCAACTGAGATTTCGAAACTAACTAATGCACAAATCCAAAATGTCATAGATCAAGTAAAAAAATATACTAGTGATCATCAGAGTCATGTGACTTTAAAAACCATTCCCTTGGGGAACGATCAGATTAGGGCTGAGGTAAGTACATCGGCAAATGTATTATCTTCACCTCAATCTAATCCAATTTATGACCGCACCTATTTTCACAACAAGATATTGGATCAATATCCTAATCTATATAGAGAATGTAATAGTGAAAATTTCGATTATTATGGAATTACTGATGAGACATCATGCGGGGTCTCGAGAGAGACCATCTGCTCATTATGCAAATTAGGTCATGATGATGAAGAAATAGAAGGTAGGTATAAAGCCGGATCTTACTTTATTAAATATGAACAGTGTGAAATTGAGATAACTGCATAGTCTGGTTACTTTGGCCAGAGGCGCTCCTTATATTTGCTCACGCTTCATTGTGATATTTTTTAGGGCTAATTTATATCAACTATTATCTACTGTAATTTAAATTAATTTGCGATCATATAAAACAGCAACATGATCAAGTCCGATAAAGTATTAACGCCTGAGTATCTGGATTGGCATGCCAAATTAAGTGGGTTACCAAGCGTTTTGACAGATAAGATTCGTTCTAATTTATACAAAAGATATAAAAAAGAAACTGGAAATGAGCCATGGCAATTATCAGAAGTGCATGCATCGGAAGCCGATCTTCTCATAAATTCGAAGCCAGAAAACAAAGTATCCTATTTATCTTTTTCTGGGCAATGTAAAGAAAAAGGGCCTATCACTTTCAAAGTCAAACCCTATCCAGAATTAATTATTAAATCCGTCTTGGAGCATTTCACATACCTGAAATTCTGAAATAGTTTCAGAGGGATTGATAATTATAATTTTGCATCACCTCAGCCGTGGAGCTCACCATGCTCTATTTGCGATGGAAATCATGGGAATTATGGATTACATGGCGAATGGTATAAAAATGGAACGAAATATTGTCTTACCTGCAACAGTTCAAGCAATAAACTCAAGTTCGCTATTGTAGCATAGGCCAGTTATGTGAGATCAATCACCTGAAAAAATGCATAGTACGATATCTAGATAATATTTTTTTTCCAATACTGAAGTGTACATATCTTCTGAAGCCTTGCAAATAGGCAAGTAAAGAAGCAACATTCACGACGTACTGCAGTATGAAAGAATGCCAGCAAAAAAAAATACTGGAGAAGAAACTTCTGGACAAGACATTATGCAGTTAAGGTGAGTTTACTTTCAGTTGTATTGGGTATTTGCAAGGAAGCAACAAGCTAATAGATTTTTCATTTAGGATTTTGAGAATAATATTAGCATCACAGAAGGGGAAGCGGTATAATGCTTCAATTTTTTATAAATAGCTAGTTTGTAGCATCATCATGTAGCAGTCTTTGATCTGTATTATGTATTTTTTTCTTGTATGATCAATAAAGCAAAGACGCAATTAATTTACAAAATCCAGATATACAATGGAGGGATTGTGGGAAGCGTGTATGCTAATATATTTTTTCGATCAAGTTTTATTACAACGAAATCATTGATCTAGAACTTAATAAATGCGCAGTATCATTCGAAACATTTTAGTATAGACGTCACATGTATCACGGGAACAAGTAATTGCGCAAAATAATTTATTCTCAAACTTTCTCGCATATTCTCAAAATTCTTACGTATATTATTATTAAAAGGGCCCCTTGATGATCTTTACATATGGATAGCGTTAAATTCTTTATTGTTAAATTAAGGGGATGCCGTTGATCAGATTTTCGTATGCGATCGTATTAACGTAATTTTTCCCCAAAGTGTATTCCAAGGTCGATCCTGAGAATTATATAAAAAGGTGATGTCCCTGTTAGTGAATCTATTTATCCGCTTTGTGCAAATAAAAAACAAAAAATAAGCGAAACATTCAAACTTACCATAATTTACATCATCGATATTATCTCCAATCAAACAAACGAGTATATTTCGTAAAGTTATAATAAAGTAAGTTGGTTTATTGTTTGGCTAGATTCTTGAAACATGACATCACGGTGCTAATCAGTTTTTCCAACTCTACAGATGTCCCAGAACATATTACTTTTCTTACTATATATCGGCATTTTGATCTTCGTCGAGAAAATCACTGACTATCATCACGCGTATAATAGGCGCAGTTAAATTACTCACATGAATCTCGTCATATGCAACGGCACAGCAAAAGTCTGGCGCAGTGCATCAATAAATTTATCTTATATAAGCATCTTCACGTGCCGAATTCTTAAAACTTTGCGCAGTATCTTTCCGCAGAAAAAATTAAGCAATAAATATCTTGTGTATGAGGCGGAATGGAATTATGTGAAAATGAATCATGATAGTAAGTGTAAATCGTTATTGTATTATTTTTTTTACCTCATTTGCTAATACTTCCGTAATTATACTATAGGTTTGAAATTTCTTAATCTAAGAGAAGTTTTCTTTCGAGAAATAATAGTCTGTGTTTGGGAGAGATAGATAGACAAAAATTCTGTAATTTATTTCGGAAATCTAGTATAGTAAAAGAGTGTGGGGTGAGAATCACGTAATTAGCAATAGAAGTAGAAACAAGTTAGTGAGAGAGCAAAGAAATAAATGTGATGCTGGGACTCGCATTAAATGGCCTAGGATCCGCGTACTCCCTCCCTCTTTGATAGCATCATATATTTCATTGCTTCTCTAGCATTTCTGATTCGCTATTGTACTTTGTATCTTTTGTATCTGAAAATCAATAAAATAGTGATCGGCGATTCGGCGTTAGCGCACGTGATTGTAATTATCAACGTAGCTTTCGTAATTGGTCGTCTATAACGATTCGATAAAATTTTTTTTCGTGATTGCTATCTCCTCGCGTTTATTTCGAAAAGACATTCTCGGAACATTTTAAAGTTAAGTAATTTCATCTAGAAAGAAGTATCAAACGGTATCAAACGGTATCCTACGCTCGTAAGGTTTAGCCCTGCGACCGATGCTTGGATCAGAGTGTTGCGGGATAACCACTATTGACTCGTTACAAAGATTGTGTAAAGACTCTTAGTGCCTACTCCTGGGCCTCTCATCCAGTATACCAAATGAGACTAGTATCCTACGCCCGTATGGTCCAACCCTTCGGCCGATGTTTGGATTAGTGGGTGCCGGATAACCATTATAACTCACTACTTGTGGCTTTTAATGCCTACTCCGGGTCCTCTCTTCCAGTGTTACAGCTCTGCTTTCATAATTATTATGTTAGCGGTTTTGAGAATTAGGGTGGGCCTATTCAAATCACTCATAGCAACCTTTTTTTCATCATTAGATTATGGATTTTGATCGTTACGTTACTGACTTTGTATATAACTCTGATAATATGGAATGGAGCGTCCTAAATTGTCTAAAGTATCTTGAAGCACGTGTACAATATACTTCTGATAGCAAAGAAGATATTATTGACGCATTTGCGAGAACGTTTGAAAAAATCAGTAATTCTACTGCTATGCTTTCTGGAGTAAAGAGAAAGGCCAAAAAATTAGCCAACAAAGTAGAAGAGAAATTTCGAAGAAAAGAAATTGTTGATTTTTTTTAAAGTTCTGGATGAAAATTTTGAAAGGGTAAGTAGCATATGGCTTTTACATAACGCAGGATCATAATATATTAATTTCTATAATTTTATAGAGGCAGGAAGAACGGGATCTTGAGAATTCCTTCGACAAGAATGGTCGTGAACTGTTAAAAAGGTCCGGTGATTTCAATACACTGGAATTATCATCGCGTTATATGGAAAGGACAAAAGAATTATGTGAAGTAAGATCAATGTTTTATTCGTGCTTTCCGAGTCTGGGCGCTAACTTAGAGGTCATCACTAATTTCAATTTTTCAATATAACATCTAGGGTGAATCAGTAATATCAGAACAACATCATTATGGTCTAAGAAAAAAACAAAAGGTAGACTATAATGAAGAACGGATATTGGAAAGGATATCTCAATCGGAAGAATCTCAAACGGATGACCATTCAGAATTTTCTCAGGTAGAATCTCTTAACCCTCCGAAAATTGAGGTATCTTAGTTCAACAGTTCAACTATATCCGCTAATGCGTTTCTATATTACTTAACTAAATGTGAATTTTATTAGGCGCTAGCGAGTTTAAGCACGAAATCGCACTTAGAAAATTATAATATTGTTTGTCTCTTTGACATCGGATTTCCCTACACCAAACAACTCTTTATGAAATTATCAAGGAATCAGATGCGCATTATGGAGAGTAAATGGATAGAGGTAAGCTTATCTTATACTTAAATGAGAGCTATGGACATCGAGCTAATGAATATATTCTTTTAATAATAATAATGAGGCCGAAACACATATTAGCAAAGAAGAGATTGAAAAGTGCTGGAAAGAATGCTCATTAAAAAAACTGGTGGATGATAACAACCAAACCATTAAAGACAATTCAAATGAAAATACGCTTTATGTTGATCTCAATGAACTTATGACCTCTTTTACAAAACAGAAATTTGACAAATATGACCACCAAAAAAATTACGAATTGCTTTGGTGTCAAAATGTTTATGTGCAGATGTAAGTTTTATGATATTGTTATTGACTGATAAATGAAAAATGAAATAACTAAATATTCTTATACCAGGACTCTCCAACTATTACACAAGCACAGTGCATTGCTTGACAAAGAATCCGGTGAATTTAAATATCGAGATGACATCGTAAACCCTCTTCTCGCATCAATTTTTTATGATGTTGAGGATGTGCTATGGATGAAAACGTAAGTGTTCATATTGAAAGTGTCATTCCTAACAGTATGAATCTGAATTCTTATTAACGATAAACTAGTGGAGAAATCGAAAATGAATCACGAAAACGACAACGAAATTTTTCAAAGCAGGAAGATGATCGTGGAAAACTTGGTGACAAACACGACGGTATATTATACATGAATGTCAATGGTGTAAAAATTGGCGTTGGTTTTGTTGAAGTTGTCGGCAATGCATTCACCACAGATATTTCTGACAAGAATTACGACCTTGAGAAGCTATTGAAAGGTATATCTGTAATTCTGACTACCGTATTTAACGAAATATGATTCTAACTTAATTCTATTTCTCTATTAATCATAGCAACGATGATATCCCTATACTATCAACATGCACACCAATCTGATAATGAGAATATCTCTCGATTGCAATCATTTGCAATCTTAGTATTTGGTAAGTGCTTATACTAGTAAGACTTTTTTTTAATCAAAACTGCTGATTTACTTGATCACTTTGAACAGGACGTGAGTATCATCTTCTAAGCATGCATCTAGTTGATGAAATGTACATCGTAGATGAATACGATGCTTTCATAATACCAGATTCTTGTGTGGACTTGTTACAAATCGGAAATGCTATCGAAATAGTGAAAAAATTTAAGGTAAGTTCTTTTTTGTTGATAGATGTTTATAGGCTCCTCATTCCATAATATTCATAACGCTTTTGTATAGGTACGATTGATAAAATATTATCGTCAACTTATTAAAAAAACACGTAAAGTGACTCGACTCCCAAGTGCGGAACCACCAACTGCTTCACCATCTGGGTCGAAAGCAAAAAAAAAATCGCATTGAACAAATTCATAAACAAATGTATTTATGGCATTAAATGTAGAATCGTTTTGTAAATTACTAGCTGAATGCAATACAATCAGATTATAATAAAAAATGATTTAGTCAAATAAAGCATTTTCATTATATGATTTCACCAATAGCAGTTTGCATGCACATTAATATAACGGTTTCAATCCAAAAATTCGGAGTAGAATTTTATTAGTATAAAGCAAAATAAAAACATCTCAAAATTTTTCTTGACAAGTGATCGGTGTTCTTCCGATTTTGATGAATATCAAATTTTTACTTAACTGATGTATAAGTGGTATCTATAATAAATAAATATTAATAAGCATTTTTTTCGGCTGATCTGTAACTCATCTCGTGATTTGAGTTGCGCGAAAACTGACTGCAGAGCTAGGGTGATACCTGTGATATGATTACATCATACCACAAACTGATTTATATACATGTATCTTAGCCGAGAGAGATGACCCTATATAAATCTCTGATATGCTTGTAATTGAATAAAAATGAATTTTGATTTAGAAAAGTATAATCTTGCTATATACATGTACAGTCAACTCTTGTTATAACGAACTCTATGTCCTAGACCTCAACTTCGCTATAAGGCTATAGTGAAGATTTTAAGAGATTTTATTGGCCAATTCGCTATAACAAGAGTATTTTTATTATATTTGTTCAAAAAATTCGTTATATCAAGAGTTCGCTATATCAAGAGTTGACTGTATTGCTAAAAACATTATAAATCACTAAAACAGCTATAAATTGCTATAAAGTCATAAAATGGTTAAAACTAACTATTCCGGTTTAAATCCTGTTGTAATGCAGGCGTTAAACAATCTGCAATATAGGTATAGTGGTGAAACGCTAGAAATGTGATGTTCTCATATTCGTTTTCCATTTAAGAAACTTCTTAAATATAACCCAAAATACTTCTCCAAGAATGGATTTATCCAAATGATTGAAAGATCATATAAAGATGGGGAATTTAAAGCTGAGAGACGCTTATTTCATATTTATTGCACTGTATGTGACTCTTTGGTAATTATTCGTGAAAATACCATCGAATGTGCTAATGATCATCTGAATAAATGTATTACTAGAATTGCTAAAATGCATTCTAATCCTGTATGAAAGAATATGAAAAAAGGAGGAAGAATAGCATCAGAACTAAGTAAAGATGAAATTTATGAGATTTATTTAACATATTCGGTTATGTATAGTAGAGGCTTAAATTATTATGATTATGATTATTCACATTAAGGTAGGAAAACTGTTGCATATCGCTTATTTAACAGTGCTAAACTTATCTAACAGGCTTGGAGAACTTTCAAATTAAGACCTGAGACATTGGCAAAATGAGTTTGGAATAACGTAAGGAATGATGAAACTCCTGACGATAAGAAGTATTTAGGTATGACTTCTCATGTTCATTATTCTCTATATGATTGGGTAAAAGAGAAGAAAATACAATTATGGATTCAATTATGCAATAAAATATACAAAATATTTCTAAAATATTACTTCAGAAAGGCTATGTTATTATTAGAGGTTCAAATTAGACTAACCAGCTGAAGTGGCTATATAATCCTGAATATTATCGTATTGATAAAAATAATAAACTTAAATATCTTATCAGAGTTACAGAATGTGAGAAATATAAGGTTAATTCAATAGAAGTAAAAGCAATGTGTACACGTTTCAGACTTTAAATTCACCTGCCTTCTCGCATCCTTTTAAACAATAATTGGCCAAAGGCGCTACTTATGCATGAGTATATGTAATGAGTTTTCTAAAACATAAGATGTATTCAATAATTATTATAATAGATTTATTTTTTTACTTTACTCTGCCATAATGCATGTAGGCGTATACGACATAAATTAGCATATTTTTTGATCCTCGTTATAGTGTATATGATGTAATAAATAATACATTGCAAATCATCTGTAACTCTATGTGGACTGTTTGTATGACAAAACAATTTTCACACAAGAAATCGATCTTAAGAATATTTTGAATTTTTCCCTATCTATTTGAATAGCATTTATTTATAAGTTTATTTCCTCTAGAGCATTGCGTTGCTACAGGCTATTCCTACTAGATTTCGACTAGAGTATATTTATATAATATTACTAGGCCTTTATTACTGAGCGGTCGGACAAGTGAAATAAAGAAAAAAGTATGTATATGCATTATCCTTAGCGCTTTTAAAATGTTAAGATCTTCAATGCATATTCCACATGCCCTTATTCTCTAACACAAAATTTTAGCGTAAAGTGCCTTGCATATTTCTTCTATCTATTCCCCAAATATGAATACGAGTTGGAGAGAGCATGTACAAAAAATGGAGACATTTAAAAGGGCAGTATAAGTAATTTTAAATACATAACAAGGAATGGAAGGAGGATGATGATAAACTGATAGAACGAATAAACTGTATATTAAGCATCCTGTAGGTAATTTTAAAATATCTCTTATATTTGATTTCAAAATAACCTTTTACTTTTCTTTAATGTAAAAGGAAAATATAAAGAAATCTGGCATTTGCAACTAGTGAAATGCGTAGTTTTCAAAGTGAGGGAACTTATATAACAGACGTCATCATGCCTTTACTTCGAACTAGTTTAGAGGATCTTCCAAATGATACTGTTTGTCTTAGCACTACGAAATGGTAAAATATAGCGAGTAAGATCCAAAAAAGTCTTAAATCGAATGAAGAAAAAACTTCATACCCTCAAAAAACTCTGATAGGGAAAAATCTGATATTATACTGATGAAAAAATGTGATGGTAAAATTTTTGAAATTGCTTATGTTGAATCTTCGTGTATCATCTGTACTAATTCAAAAAAAGATAATGATTCTATAAAATTATGAAGAGAAACTCAGGATAGAATAAGCTTTGTCAACATCGCTTGCAGACCGTTAAGCAATCAATTTGGTATTGTTAGAATTCAAGTTGTCAACGAAAAAGTATGTCTAAATGTTTTAGTGAAAAATGCAAATGGAATACCAAAATATTTTCATTTTAATCAAGCTCAAATACCTTTTTCAAAAGATATATTATGGTGTGTGATATCTCTTATTTATTTACTATTAACTTTAAGAAATATTACAATCATGAACAAAAGTTTATTATTACAGGCATTAGAGCAAACTAATACACATCTTCCACGAAATGTTAATTCAAGTCCTACAGTTTTCTCACCATTAAATAATAATTAAGCGTCAGACTATATCATGTATTATTACCGCATCATGTATTTTAGTGTAATTTAATATAGTTTATTTCATATCAATAAAGTGGTCCTGGTGGCTGATTATTTTTACATATCCATCTGTATTTTTTCATGTGTGGTGTACACCAGATAATAAAACTTTCTTAATAAATTTGCGAGACTGCGCGGTCTCAAAAAACATGTGATTTTTTATTTTTGAATATTATCATGCTAATACTACATTACGTAAACATGCAATCTGAAATAGATAGTCCTAATGAAAGTGATTTGTTGAAACAATGTATTAGCAAGCTTAAGGCTGAGAACAATAAAATTATAGCCGAAAATATTGAGTTTAAGGCCAGAGTTGCAGAATTGGAAGACAAGCTATCGTAAAATAAATTAATAAAAAACTTGTTATCTGTATTACGAAAGTATGATCATGTATTAATTTTGCGAAATTTCAGCCAGGACACCCCTGCCAAAAACTTTTATTCAATAGATCAGAGTTAATGCAATATATTTAATATAGGAAGGTAGAATTAATATTACGCAATTTCACGGTAATGGCATGGTATTGATATAGTATTTTTTTCAGATCTAATAGTACAATATATTATTTGATACAGTATTGGCGTGGTATTTCTTAAAAATAGTTATGATGCAATTTTTAGATTATCTTAACAATCGCTTTTACGTAACTTTGGTTAAAATTATTTCACAGTAGTTATCTGCATGATTCTAAGCCACATCTAATATATATAGTTATTCAATATATAATAGCTTGTCTTTTGCACTTCTGCCACTCCCTCTCCATGTAATTGCAATAATGTAGTTAAGTAAGGTATATAATACCATGGTCTCTAGAGACCTAAATCCCAAAAAAATAAAAAGCTTTTTACAATATGGACTGACAAGCAACTTTGAGTCTTGATCAATAACCGTAAAGAAAATAACAATGTTTCATAAACTAGCTAGGAATGGAAAGAGAATTTTTTGGAAGAAAGTCTTCACAAAGATCAACCTTCAGTTTGGAACGTCTTATACTAGTACGCATTGTAGGAAAAAGTTCAAGAGTTTTAAACGGGATTGTAAAGTATGTAAAAATCCTTCTGAAATCTTTGAAGCCTCAGCTATGCACAGCGTCTGATACCAGACTAATTTATTTTTTCTATTTAGCGTATATAAGCATACATCGATGGAAAAGCTAATGGAAAAAGAACTAAGAACAGCCTCAAGTATTATGAGGAATTCAAAGAACAGTTCTGGAAAATACTAGGTAAAGATTAGTTGATCAGAGGAAGGGATATTTATGAGAAGATATATTAATCTCTAATACTTTATTTCACTATAGTGACTGACTATAATCGGCTTTGTGAACAAAATATTGCAAGAAGACATCAAATCCCACCACCGCCATATGAAGAAAATGGAGGTTTTACCTCACAAGTATCACTACTACACTTGTAATGATAGGAATAATTATATCTAGCTATTAGTATATTTCGCTGTAGTTATTTTATATTGCTAGAAATCACCCAATACTTATATAATGTAAATACCAATTATAATAAAAATAATATCATCATTTTTGGAGGAAAATTAACTGGAAGGCGCTTTGCATAAATTAGCTTGAGTACTTTTTTTCTTGCACTTCTGCCTTACCTTTATCTCCTTCTGCAGATTTAGTGGAGTGTCAAACCATAGGCAGATTGCAAGAGGATCTGATCATCTTCTGGCCTAGTAAGATCAAATACAATAAATTCACCTCTTTGAAG